GGATGGGATGTGAGGCGGGATGATTTTGACGTATTGAAATAAGTCACGGTGCACGATTTAGTAAAATCACATTTTTCTAGTGATAGATTACAGCATAATTGTAAACGAAAGGTTGTTGAAGCAGCAATAATAATCTTCTTGAACTACGACATCTTCTCTAACAACATTTGAGTTTCTTTAACCGTTGTTTGAAAGTTCGTTTAAGCCTAGTCATTTATTTCAATACATCAAAATCATCCCGCCTTCCATCCCGTTCCGGCAACAGGTGTTTACATGGAAGAAGACGTTCCGGTTGAAGCGGGATCCCGGTTGCACAAACCGGGATTCCGCTTGCCCGGGACGGGACGAAAAATGTCCAGCTTCCATATAAACATCTGGTGATAAATATAATAGAAATTTATACAAGCCGGGATCCCGTTCATCGTCCCGTCCCGGCAAACGTCCCGTCCCGCCTCTCATATAAACAGCCCCTTAGTCGTTTTAACTTTTAACTTTTAATTAGAATTTTTATGCAGTTTTAATATCTGATACGATTACAATGCATTCTGAACTCCCATGAGAGGTAATGAAGTTTGGGTGTTTATAACAACGACAACTGAAGATCTCTCTCATTTAAATCAGCCCCTGTACAGGGTGTCCCCCAAAATGCCCCCCTTTAGAAATCACTCTTGTGCGTTATTATACCTTTGGGAATTTAATTTAATTTAATTGTACATGAACGGCGGAAATATTTACAACTTCCTTCGTCCAAATAATTTAACACCTTTGGTTACACTTTGCGTTAAAGTATAAGTTGTTAGGCAAACACTCGTTGCTCTGTTGTCAGTTGAACTATTCTTGCTCGAACTGACGGTAAGACGAATTTGTAAATTGACAGTTTTGTGTTGTTGTTCGTCAGTTTTTGAAGCTATTTTAAATTTCCAGAGTCGAGGTAAAACAACATGACACATTTAACAACAGAAGAGTGATTTCTATAGGGTGACTTGTTTGGGGGGGGGGGGGACACCCTGTATAGGGGCTGATTAAATGGAGCGTTTTAACCGAGCTGAAATTGTTTCACGATCACATAAATTAGAAGCCGCACGTGTATCAAAGTGCGCATCTAAATCATCTCGCAAACGACGGACAACAGAATGACCGAGAATTAAAATACTTGGGACACATCTTGACATGATAAGAATATAAGAGAAGAAGGGAAAAAATTGAATACCTTATCAATTGACTTCAGCCAGATAGTTGACCTTGCGCTACCAGATTGAAAAGCAGAAATGAATTGAACTGATGCACATACTGCTGTATAGATTATATCACTATATACTCCTATCCGCTTCCTGCGCATTTCATTCATGCATGTGACTACGAATTACCAGGCTAATACCCACGTGTCCCCTTACAATAGCTTCTTATCTCTAAAACTATAGTGTGTCCCCAAAAAAGTACCCTCTATTGAAATTTATCCTATTGTTGTTAAGCACGGGATGTTACGCACTCTTGTGTTCAGCATAGTGCTCGGGCATTCAAATTATAACAATAGGACAATTTCTATAGAGGCTACTTTTTTGGGGAACACCCTGTAGATGCAGGAAGCAATAAAATATTTATTGGTATATATATCAATAATTCCTTTATGTCTATTATTTGACTTGTGCGAGCTGCGCTAGAACAGTGAATAATAAAGCCACTCACGTTTCTTCAATCCGAGGTAAAACTTCCAGGCCGTGTTTTAATGGGATTTTATTCTTAGCCTTAGGCCAGCCTGAAATCATGCAGTCCGGGAAAACTCTTCATATAATCAGCCCCTAGTCCCCCGGCTGTGCCTGTGCACGTGCATGGAATAATTTATGATAAGTATAATTATGAACTTCGTTTTTTCACTTTAGGTTGTGTTGTTTCTCGCACAAGGAGCAGGTAGGTTTCGAATATACATGTTCTTGCAGGTTTTTCCACTTCTTTGAATGAAAATGTTCACAATTTTTTCAAACCGATTTGGCCATTGAAAGTGGTGGTTGCATGCCAATCAACGTTGAGTATCTTGTTTGTGATTTGCCTACATGCGGAACATTCATTCCCATTGTACTTCCCATTATGATCCTTCAGTACTCTCATTTATGTAGCAATATTATGTACTTTAAATCAACTGACTAAGGCCCCGTTTACATGAGATCGGAACGAAGTAAAACCGCGACCATTTCGTTTCGGTATAGTATTATTAATTTTATAATACATTTATAATACAGTAAGACCACGCGTATATAAGAACCTAGATTTTTCAAGTTAGCCTAAACAGGTTCTTATATAAATGGTGCTTATCGCGAAACAGGTTCTTAAATAGGTTCTTAATTTCTAAAGAAAAAGCGACTCATTTTCGTTTGCTGTTGATACAGTTATTTGTTGTTGATGTGTTCATATATTCTGGCTATATATGGCGGGTCATTTTCATTACTTTGTGCATGAAGAGTTTATTTTCTTTGATTTATAAATGTTTAGCTTAACTCTTAGAGTGATAAAAATAAAATAAGAACCAGTTTGAAATTTTAGCCTAAACAGGTTCTTATATAAAGGGGGTCTACTTAAAATAAGCAATTTTAGCCTAACAGCTACGTTCTTAAAATCTAGATTCTTATTAATACCGGCGGGGTCTTAGACGTTTACATGCATGAGCTGGGACGAAAATAACTCGGACCGGTCTCAAGTCATTCCGCCTGCTGGACCGACCCGACTGACTTCAGACCGGCATGAATTCAGACTGGGATGAATGTAAACACAAATACGACATTTCAGACCGATCTCGGCTATAACCTTGACATTGGAACAACACATGCTAACATAACCATCTAAAAAAGAAAATTGCCTGGCAAGAGGAACAAATTGAAAATTTTGTGTTGAAACATGTTGACAATTTCATGCAATTTTTATTCCGGTTTGACTTCGTTCCGGTCTCATGCATGTAAACGGGGCTTCATAGGCCTGTTCTAAACGTCGCATGTGCCGAATACATTCAAAACATCAATAGATAATCAGCTAAAATGCCTCGTCCATTGCATTCGGCGCATGTAAAAGGCGACGTTTAGAACAGGCTTAAGTGTCGAAACAGCCCAGTTCAATCACAGTTATTTTAATAGATGGTTTGGAGACTCGATGAAAGTACAATATAACTCATTAACTATGTTATTGTCCAGCTTTATGCAAGAATTTGATCCTATCTCGTCACGTGTGTATTGTATTTTCGCTCAAATAACCAATAACAAGTTTGTGGTTGAGTTATCCATCCGTAACTTGAACAAATGCTCAATTTAAACATTGCTATTGGTTGTGCGGGAAAAAATACAATACACACGTGACGAGATAGGCCCGAATTCTTGCATAAACCGAAACCAACATAGTTAATGAGTTATACTGTACTTTCATCGAGTCTCCAAACCATGTATTCCATTAACTGTGGTTCAATGGACCATTTGCATTATAGACTAAATTTTGATCTAGACACAAATTTCATCACAGCTTGAAAGAGCATCACAAAATTAGTAATGTTCCAAAGTTTCGTTGCGAAATGTTGTAAAATGCGGATAAATAATAATACGCACGGGAAATTGACAGCCCAATCGGGTGTTGGGGCATCAATTTCCCGTTTGTAATACAAAATGACTGAAAATTGCAAATTTCGCAAGGCTATATTATCCGCATTTTGTCTAGACTTGTTTAGATCAAAATTTAGTCTGTAATGCAAATGGTCCATTGCGTTTTCTGTCTCCGTTAGTTAAATGCATACTTTGAAGCAAAAGTTTTGTCCCGTTCTTTCTCATTGCATGGCTAGCTTAATTAAACGCTATTATATAGCACTTGTATTTCGTTCTTGCTTTCTGATAAATTTTGAACTTAAAACACTATAACGTTTGTTCACATTGTTTTGGCAAGAGACCTGCACAGACAAAGCAAGATTAAAGTCGGAAACCAACACAATGCCACATGGCCCACACTTCTTACAGGGTCAGGATGTCTAAAAAAAAACGCTGTGGAAATTCAACAGGCTGTTGTGCATCACAAACTTCGCTAAACAATTCAATTTTTACATAGGACGAAAGAGCTGTTATTTAGCTTTTCTATGATACCTTTCTTAAACCGTAACGATGAGAAATGGTCACATACTCGTCAAATAAAAATTGTCAGTCGAAAACATATTCCTACACCGTTGGGATTAATTATGCAAAGCTAATAAATCTAAAAGTAACGCGAGTCCACTGCAACGTTCATATTTAGTCCGTGTGTTGTGACCTCGAAAAGTGCCTATAGGAAACAATTTTCATTATTAAAGCATGCATGTCTTAGATCTGAAATATTTTTACGGGAACTAACACTTTCGAACACGCTGAGTTCAAATCCGAAAAGTTCCCACTCCGTAGACCCGCTGTTTTCTCACAAACTGTTATTTTGTCTTCACTAATTTCACAGCAAATTTTTTCATTGTTCAACGACACGGATCGATGACGATACACGATTATGTCACTCAAAAGGACCAATTTCTATTAACCATTCTTCCTTTTAACAAAAGATCGGTTTTGCTCGAACATTTTGAGTTATGCAATCTTATGCATGTTGGACGTAAACAACATAGTTGTCTACAACTTTGAGAAGGTACAGATAATTCCTTCTAATATCCTTAGTTCTATAGACTGATCTATCTCTGTAAAATCACAAGGACGTTAATGTTATGCATACAAAGATGTAAAACGGTAATCTAGTATGTAATGAATCAGCATTTAAATTTCCAACACAGTTTCCAAGACGTAATTCAAGAGATAACTTATCATTGCATTTGAACTATTACATCAGTTGATGTTATTACTGTGCGATAAGCGAATATTATATTGGAAAGAGGGCTTCCATATACGTTGAAATCACTAAATAAACCGCTCATGTACACATTTCTCCACTTCGTCGTAAGTTTACAGAGCAGATTTTATACTTTGGGATTGATCTTTGTCTTTGATGTGACCATTTATTCTTACAGTTTAAGGTTATTTAAGATTGATCCTGTCGTAAGTGTTCTACCACCCAGGGCCGCCGAGAGGTTGGCGGGGGCCAGGGACAAATTTTTTTTAGGAGCCCCTATTTAAAACTTTTTTCGGAAAAAAATTTTTTCGGAGAACAACCTCCCCCCCCCCCCACCCCCCGTCGCCAACTATTAGGTAAAAAATTTTTCCGGACAAGTACGTTACAATTACTTTCCAGGGACTTTATCTCAATTTTTCATGCCAACTTTCGGTACTTAGCCCAAAAAACAGATATCTTGTCCTTTGCGCGGAAATATTTAACACACAAAAGACTGGGGCCCAACAAAAAATTTTCAGGGGCCCCCAGCACCTCGGGGCCGGGGGCAATTTCCCCCCCCCCCTGCCCCCCTCTCGACGGCCCTGCTACCACCAACCAATTAGTCTAGGACCTGTATATGGGTTTGTATGCATTTCATTTAGGACAGATAATCTCAACTGTTTTAGGGTAAGTTGACCATGACGGTCAACATGGTAACGCTGCCCGAACCCCAATCCGGGGCGAAACGTCCGAAACTGACCACACCCAAAAACGACGCCTTCGCCATACTGCTATCTACCAAACCATAAGAGCTTTGGCTATTCTGAGGTGCTTATATGGTTCAGAGATGGTACTTTTGGGGGTGGTCATTGGTATGTGTGAAATGCCTAGCACTAATATTTCACAAGAAAATGGCCATGCAATAATCATAGTTAAACGTCAATTTGTGGCTTGCAAATTCAGATAAACAGCAGTGGACTTACATTACCTTTTTCCCTAAATCTTTTTGATTGAAACATAAATGGTACTTATTTAAATATATTATCACTGGTTTGGTGTAAAATAGTTAATATTTTCTGACCGAAATAATAATTCGAAATGTGCATACCTCCTGCAAATGGACGTATTTGGCCAAGTTCTCCACTTTACTCCGCTGTTTATCGGCGATCTCGTCGACATCCTACAAAAAATGTAAATCATCTCAGACATAATGGTATCAAGAACATTTTAAACAAGTTTCAACTTGGTTTCAAGTAGATCATACCTGTTTAACCATCGACAAGGTAAATCCACAACTTCGTCCAAATTCGGCGCCATTTTGTCATCACATGTCGCTTGTTAACAATTCAGCCTTGTTACTCTTCCATCCAAGCCATTTCCATTCCACTAATAATAAATTTAACCCTTTATAACAGGAGGACCTAAAAAATCTAAACAAAATACAAGAAATACGCCATTTTATCACCCTGTAAAATGTTGTTTACGAGTCCTTCAAAACATTCCGTACAAATCTCGCGTGGTTTAGCAACAGGGACGTGACAGGGGGGGTAGAGACTTGAAAAATGAAAGGAAAGCCCACACAGTATGGTAAAACCAACAATCAACATTT